AGGATTTTATTTAGGGACGATTTTAAGTATAATTTTAATTGGAACACAGCTTCGAATATTTGGTTTTAATTTGGTTTTAGAGGGGTTTTTATTTTTATTGATATGTGTATCTGTTTTAATATGCTGTGCACCGCCCTGAGTCCTGCGGGAGAAGGGCGGTATAGAAATTAAAATAATAATAATAATAATAATAATAATTGCATTCTTTGACCAAGTGACAAAATTAGTGGATCAGAGGAATGCTGTGGATATAATTTACTTGGGACTTCAGTAAGGCATTTGATAAAGTAGATCACAACCTACTACTCGATAAGATAGAAAAAAGTGGGTTAGACAGCATCACCACCAGATGGATTCGTAGCTGGCTGACCGGCCCTACTCAGCGTGTGGTCCTCAATGGAACTGCATCTACATGGAGGGAAGTGTGTAGTGGGGTGCCCCAGGGCTCTGTTCTGGGCCCAGTGCTCTTCAACATCTTCATCAACGATTTGGACGAGGGGATAGATGGGGAACTCATCAAATTTGCGGATGACACCAAGTTGGCAGGAATAGCCAACACTCCAGAAGACAGGCTTAAGATACAGGAGGACCTAGACAGACTTGAATACTGGGCGCTGTCTAACAAAATGAAATTCAATGGTGAAAAAAGTAAGGTTCTACATTTAGGCAAGAAAAACCAAATGTACAGCTATAGTATAGGGGGTACCTTGCTCAATAGTAGTAACTGTGAGAGGGATCTCGGAGTCCTAGTGAACAATCACTTAAATATGAGCCAGCAGTTGCTGCAGCTGCCAAAAAAGCCAACTCAGTGCTAGGCTGCATTAACAGAGGGATAGAATCAAGATCATGTGAAGTATTAATACCACTTTACAATGCCTTGGTAAGGCCACACTTGGAATACTGCATCCAGTTTTGGTCACCACAATGTAAAAAAGATGCTGAGACTCTAGAAAGAGTACAGAGAAGAGCAACAAAGATGATTAGGGGACTGGAGGCTAAAACATATGAGGAACGGTTGCTGGAATTGGGTATGTCTAGTTTAACGAAGAGAAGGACGAGGGGGGAACATGATAGCAGTGTTCCAATATCTCAGGGGCTGCCACAAAGAAGAGGGAGTCAAGCTATTCTCCAAAGCGCCTGAGGGCAGGACAAGAATCAATGGATGGAAACTAATCAAGGAGAGAAGCAACCTAGAACAGGGGTGTCAAACTGCCGGCCCGTGGGCTGGTTTCATCATACCGGAGCCGCGCCCACCCCATTGCCAGCAATGGCGAAAAAGCTCCGATACGTCGCACGACGTCACGTGACGTCGCGAGTTTGACATGCCTGACCTAGAACTAAGGAGAAACTTCCTGACAGTTAGAACAATTAACCAATGGAACAACCTGCCTCCAGAAGCGGTGAATGCTCCAACACTGGAAGTTTTTAAGAAGAGAATGGACAGCCATCTGTCCAAAATGGTGTAGGGTTTCCTGCCTGAGCAGGGGGTTGGACTCGATGACCTCCAAGGTCCCTTCCAACTTTATTATTATTATTATTATTATTATTATTATTATTATTATTATTATTATTATTATTATTATTGACTGTAGATGACTCCTTTTTTTCTCCTTGAGCTGCTGGGGGTCTTTTGCTTTATTTGCAATGTTCTGGAGGGCTTTAGTTGGTTTGTATGCTTCAGTGATGCCATGTGGTTGTAAACGTCTGTTGGTTGTTTCTGAGATATTTCTGATGTATGGCAATGTTATTCTTTTTCATAGGTTGTGTTGGTTGTGCTGCGTTGTGCTTGAGAGTCAGTCACTTTTTAATAAAGTTGCATGGGTATCCATTTTCTTGGAAAATGTTGTATAGGGAAGTCTGTTTTCTTTTTCTGGTGTTCTGGGTTGCTACAGTGTGTTTTTGTGGATGATTTCACATGTCTGCTCCTTGTTCATTTTATTATGAGGAAGGATCATATACACATTGGAGCCATACATTTACTGGTATCTGTGGAAGTGCAATACTTTCTAGAAGCTGCATTGGTCCCTGCTATGAATTCTGAGAGCGGTGATCCACAAGGGGATTTGTTGCTATATTTCTCCATCAAACTGAAAGCAGATAGTGAGGCAGAGGATGATGAGATCCATAATTCTGGGTATTCTGATCTTAAGTGTATTTAGCCAGGTTGGATGTGTTGTGTAGTACTGCAGCCATGAATTCTTTATTTTTAATCTCTGTGGCTAGATATTTTAGTCTCTGTGGTTTCAACTGAAACTTCTCAAATACAGTTTGTCTGTAATTATGCCCCTAAGAATGAGTCACTCTGTCTGCTGAGATAAGCAGATATTCTTGGGCTAAGTATTTTGCAACAACAAAGTGCGCTCAGAAGTTTGTAAACTGAACAACTCACAATGTTAGAGCTGTAAATAATGCATCTCATGCTGAAAGAATTGGAGCAATCTTAAAATATATTTTTCAACTTTCTGGAAGTAAAATGATTATGCAGCCAGAGATTATGGTTAGTACCAGGACATTCAAACTCTTTCAAGAAAATTTATCCAAGATGGATGTAAACTTCAAAACAGAGAATACTCACCTGCAGCAGCCCTCCAAATACCCAATAAAATGTTTTTTTCAGCTCATTAAATTTAATCTCTAATAATGCTTTATACTATTTAACAATTATTTACCTGAAGGTGCTCCAACCCAGGCCAAGCCAAGGACACCATCATCAAAATCACGATCAGTAAACACGTAGGCCAAACAATAATCATCATGATTCTGCTCAGAATTAAGTTCTAGAAATTTCTCCACACCAATGTTTGGAAATCTGAAGGGATTAGAAGGATCTTTTTCATCTTGGGTAGTGTTGATCTGAAAGAAAAATATATTCTATACTGTTAGACATCACTTTTGGATAAAGTAAAAAAAAAATCCACACCTACTTGTTTTCACAAGTAATTACTCAGAGAAGAATAGTGTGAACGTTACCCACCCCGAAGCACAGAGATGAGGTAAGGATTCTGCAGATGTACAGTTTATTATGCACAAGTGATAGCCTGAAGAAGCTATTGTCATGAAAGAGTGAAAAAGAGCACCTGAGCTGATCCACTCTCTAGAACAGGGCTTTTCAACCAGTGGTACGGGTACCACCTGTGGTACACTGGCACATGGCAGGTGGTACGCGACCATCCTAGAAAAGTGGTAGCGGGGGAGGGGAATGAACTGAATGGTGGCAGCACCGCACAAGCCTGAGCGAGAGATGGCTGGAGCTGCAGGGCTGTCAGGGCTCAGCGGAAGCGCCAGGATCAGCGCCAGGCTCCAGCGGGAGCTCGGTGCGGATCCCGGTGCTTCTGCTGAGCCCAGAAGAAGCGCCGATCAGCTGGAATGTTGCGGCATCTTCAGGGTCTTGTGATTTACATTCAGATGCTTGGCAACTGATTCATATTTATGACAGTCACAGTGTCCCAGGGTCATGTGAAGTGACCAAAATCTGCTGCAACTACCCAGCAGATGGGGGGAATAAAAACCAAACACTCCCCCAC